TTGATTGGTTGAACGGCTGATTGGTTGAACAGACACTTAGCATATTAGGCTTTGATTATACAGGATTGATTTCAGAGAGGGAGAGAGAGATAGAAACATCAATGGTGAGAGAGAGAATTATTGATCAGCTCCCTCCTGCACACCCCCCACGTGCCCTTGGCCAGAATTGAACCCAGGACCCCTCAGTCTGCAGGCTGGTGCTCTATCCACTGAGCAAAACCAGCTAGGGGAGATTTTGTTTTTCTTAAAGGACCAGATGGTAAATATTTTAGGATTTGTGGGCCATACAGTCTCTGTCACAAGTAATCAACTCTGCCAATACAGCTTGGAAGTAGCCATAAACAAATGTGTAAATAAATAGGCATGGCTGTGTTTTAATAAAGTTTTATTTTAAAAAACAGGCAATGAGTCCATGTCCCATAGTTTGTCAACTCCTACTATATCAGTTTGCCTTGATATGGTAACCTAAATGATTTAAATATTTTGATGTTTTAAGATCAACAAGATTGTGGCTTGTCTTAGTGTGGTGTCAAATAAAGTAAAACAAAACACCCACTCAGATACCAAAGAGACATCTTAAAGTAACGTACATCTTGAATAACGTCTTTCAAAGAAGTACAAGGACGAATCACATTGCACAACACACTGGGAAATGTGCTAAAAGGTATATCCACCCAATTATATTCCCAAACATAACTCCTCAAGAAATTTTGAATTTCATTCCCTCCCAAACTCTGTGTCAAAATTCTCACCAGCATTAGTTCATTTGCGTATGTCTTCTCCTAGCTTCGGCCTAGTTCTTTATTAAGTAGATAAATTCAATCATGGGCTTGCAAAGACTATTATTTACCCACTCCACTGATCAGCACAACCAAACTCCAGAAACCTGGAAAGCTGGGGAGGAAACTGAATTGTATGTTGTTCATCCCTCCCCCCCCTCCCCCGCCCCACACCCCTCTTTTACATTTAGGGGCACTAGGCATGTAAATGGTAATAAAAATAGTTTTTCCCTGATGATAGTGTAAAATGAGATATGATTCTTCTTGGGCTTTAGGAGGCACGTGAGACTTTGGAGAGCACTGAATAAGCCCTCTTCCCACCTCCCTCTACAAATGACACTGTAATCCGGAGGCTGGCCTCAGTTACGTGCATATATCGATGTCTAGATATTATTTTATGGATCCTACAGGTAATTTGGGCAGCAGGCAACACTAGGGGGGAAGTCCCCATTCCTCAGCTCCTGGGGTGCAGTCTATCCACTACTTTACTCCACTTCCCTCTCTAAGGAATCCCTGATGTGCAGACCCTGGGTCCAGCGCTGCGATACACAGCGAACAGGCCCAGCTCTGGGTCTCACCCTGCCCTTCCTGGCTATGCTATTTGAGTGAGATATCTTCCTGTGCGGACCATAAATAGGGGCAATAGCTTTAGCCCTTCCTTTGTATTGCTGTAAGGATATGATCCAGCCTGTGAAATCCTCAGGTCACTTGGCACAAAGTTAGCCTGCAGTACGTATTAGCTGTTATCTTTGGTACGATTAACAAAAGAAAAGTAAATATCCACTTAAAAAGTAAGCGCAGCTGATGTTTTGAATCAGGTGAACAAAGGGTTCTTGGGAGCGGGGTGAGAGACCTGTCATCTCTCTGAGGGAAGTAAGGGAAATCTTTCAGGAAGAAGTGACTCCTGAATTAAGAGCTCAAGTACAGAAGGGAGTTAGGAAGGCAAAGAGTGGAGGGAGAGCACTGAAAGAGATGAGGACACACAAGCAAAGGCTCAAAGGCCAAGGTGTGTGCAGAGGAGTGTGACAGGCCTACATTGTGAGAGAGACCCAGCAACAGAAGAGGATGGAGGTGTATGTGGGTCCAGATCATAAAGGGTCTTGCTTTTCCTACTCAGGAAACTCATACCTGGTACTTTATGGGACGTGAGAAGCAAGGGGAGTGGCAGAGAAGTGACATTTATAGATTTTCATTTTATAAAGATAACTAGAGGCCCAGCACACAAAACCATGTGCAGGTAGGGCCGCTAGGCCTAGCCTGTGATCAGGGCCATCTTTTTTTTTTTTTTTTTTTAATATACTTTATTGACTTTTTACAGAGAGGAAGGGAGAGGGATAGAGAGTTAGAAACATCGATCAGCTGCCTCCTGCACACCTCCTACTGGGGATGTGACCACAACCAAGGTACATGCCTTTGACCGGAATTGAACCTGGGACCTTTCAGTCTGCAGGCCGATACTCTATCCACTGAGCCAAACCGGTTAGGGCTCAGGGCCATCTTTTGCCCACTCACCAGTCCCCAGTCCTGCCCTGCCACCACCCACCCTGGTTCCCCGTGGTTCTCCCTTTGCTATCCTGCGATCGGAGCCTGCGGGTTGGGGGTAACGGGGGGAGGGACCGAGAGGTGGTCAATGCACATCATAGAAACTGATTGAGCAGTTGTTCTGGTTGTTACACCATTATGGTTGCTGGGTCTTTATTATATAGGATTAAGGCACCTGACTTTTGTCTGGATGGGGACAAAACTATTTGTGGCTGAGAGACGAGTTAGGAGACAGTTGTAGCAAATAAAGTGAGAAGTCACGAGGACTAGAGTGGGTTGTAAATGCAAATGCTTACAGTGGTCAAACAGGTGCCATAACCAGACAAATCCAGGTGGGTGGGACCTGGCTGCAGCAACCTGGAGAACTCATGCCCTGCACTAAGGGACCACCATAGCTTCAGCTTCAAGAACTTCCTTCAAAATTCCTTAGAGAACAGGTTTATGATTGACAGGTTCACTATTGGTTTGTCTAAAAAAGTACCTTCTGCTCAATTCTGTGTGAACCTAAAACTTCTCTAAAAAACATTGAGCTTCTAGGACCTATGAGTTTATATTTTTCTCCCTCAAGTTTACAAAAAATATTTTGGCCATTATTTCTTCTGTACTTTTTCGCTCTTCTTCCAATGCTACACCAATTATATGTATGTTAGAATGGTTGACATTATCTCAGGTCATTGAGGTTATATTCAACTTTTTATTAATACCTTTGCTCTGTATACTTCAGTTTGGAGAATATGTGCTGCACAGGCTTCAGGTGAATCAGCCTTTTCTTCTAGTCTAAAGCCCAGACAGTGAATTTTTCATTTCAGATATATTTGTTCATGTCTAGAATTTCCACTTGGTTCACTTTTTATCTCCATTTCTTTATTCAAATTTTAAAATTTGTAATCTTATTATATTTTTATGTTTCTCTTTAAATATTTGAGCACTTTAGTGCAGAATCTGTGTCTGTTTCTATTCACTGATTTTTTTCTAATGATTATGGGTCATGCTTCTTTGTCCGATGAATAAATTTTGGTTTTGTGTTAAACATTATTGTGTGTCTGGATCTTGTTATCTTCCTTAACAAATGCTAAGTTTCATTCTGTTAGGCAGCTCTTTTATTTGCCGATTAAATTTATCCTTTTAAGACTTATAAAGATTTGCAGGAAAGGAGACAGAATGATGGTTTGCAGATGACAGTGGGGCAAGGCATTGAAAGTGGTATGGTTCGCAGCCTGCATCTCCAAGGAACATCATTTTTGTGTGAGGATAGAGACATCAGGCCTCAAGGTCAATATCCAGCCCCCGTCTGAGCTCAGGTAATGGGAGCATGAACAGCCAATACAGTTGGAGATGCACATGTGTGCCCAACTCCAAGTTCACATAGGGTGCCACTTATACTGCAAACACCACTGTCTATTATAGTGATTTCCCCACAAGTGGAAGTAACTTGTCAAGTTGTGTTTTTGGCATAGATCAGATGGCTTCAGCGGGAACCCTGGAAGGGTCAGGATGGGGGCAGTGGGAAGTCAGGTCCAGGAACCAGAGAGAACAGAGGGGACATGAAACCAGGAGAGAACAGATGATTAAGGAGCTTATGTCTTGGTGGTGACTATGGGTGACAGGGACATGGAGCAGGGAAAGTTGACTCGGCAAAGTTTCCAAAGATGGAGTCCCATTGGTTGCACAGCGGTAGGCAGTCAAGGACCTCGTCTGGAGATGTCATAACTGGACGCCCAGAAACCCTGGAGCATGACGCCTGCTCTCTAGACTTGAGGACCCAGGGTTTTGGATTCCATGCACCTTTGGGTCCCTGGTTGCACAACCAGTGATTTACAGATTGGCAACTCCTGTAATTCCTGTGGTGGGGGGAGCTTGATCCCTTCTCGGCCTTCCCACCACATCTTTCCTCTTAATCTGTGGAGTGTCTCTCCTCCAGCTTCTCTCTTTCTGTTCCATCCACAGACTCCCTTATCCAGAGCATCTTACCCCTGGGCACAGCGGTTGCAGATGCCACCTTCTGGGAAATGCAGAGAGCTCCCACGGAGGATAAAATGAGGAATTTCGGAGGGTGGCTGAAATGAACTTATTTTTGCACTCACCCGGGCTTCTCCTTTCACCTAGGCAGACTCATCTCTGTGGAGAGCAGCCCCCTCCCCAAGATGGAGAGAGAAAGTGCTGGCCAGGGGCCAGGAGGGCCCTAACTGTGCACCGGGGAGGAGGGGTCTCCTGCCCTCCTCCGAGGCCCTCCCATTCCTGAAGGAGGGGGTCTTCTCTCTGCTGACAGCTGGCCTGGGCATTTCCCCAAATAGCCTTGGGCCCAATATATATACATATATATTGTTTAATTCCTGTGGTAGCCATCTACTTTATCTGGAGCAATGCACGGCGTATCCCTTCCTGGGTGTGACCCTTTGGGGCCCAGCTCCAGACATGCCTGTGGCCAGTCTTCCACGTTGGCATCCTGGAACGGCGTGGCTCCAGGCCAGGCAGGGGAGGCCGCGCTGGTGCCCAGAGCATGGCACCTGGCCCGGAAGCCTCGCCTGCGTGGCCCTCTGTCTCCCGGCCGAGCTACCTCAGCCCCCTTTCTTAACAAAGGATCTAAAGTGTTGGGGCCAGGGGTGAGAGAGAAAGGTCATTTCCGCTTGCTGAGCAAACAGAGAGACATCGATAAAATGCCCACTGGCAGCGGGAACCCTGCATTCTGCAGCGGCCCCGGGTGCAGCTGAGCGCGGACATGGCAGGCGCCCGGCTCCTGGCAGCGGTCCTCGTCCTGGGTCTGTGCGCCATGGCGGGGGCCGGGAAACCTTGTAAGTGAACGCCCCGAAGTGACCCTCCGTGGCTCAGTGTCCACATCTGGGCAGTGGGGCCTCTGGGCCAGCGAGCCCGGAGAGCCTGCTAGCGCCCAAACCCAATGGGGCATGGAAGCCCCCCTGGGGGTCTCCGTTCTTGCTGGCTTCTCTCAGGACGAAAGGGAGGATGCTGCGTTCGCTGGAGGGAGGAAGCAGCCGGAAAGGCACCTAAGACCTGTGGTGTGGGCCACACGCGCAGCCCTGTGTGCGTTCACACTTGCTTTCCTGCTATTCAGGGAGGATACCTGGGGTCCGTGAGACCTCAGAGGGAGGCCTCCCTCCCGGACAAGGTCGGGGTGACCCCCGGTGCTGGGGGGCCCGCTTGAGGAGAGGGACTGGGCAGGAGGCCCCTCCAGGGGCTCCTTGGAGTCCGGCTTTGATCACCTTTCATCTTGGTCTCCACGTGGGTCCATCTGTCCACCTCTTTCTAGAAGGTTATTTCATTTTTTTAATATATTTTACGAATGACACAATGGCAGCAAAGCCCTGTCCCATGTGGGTGAGACAAGACTTTGCATTTCCCTGGTGGACACGGCGGTGTCCCGAGCGTGCCCGGGGCCGGGCAGCGAGGAGGGTGGTGACGCGTCTCTCCACAGCCCCCTGCCAGTGCTCCAGGATGAACCCCGACAGCAGGAAGAACTGCGGCTTCCCGGGCATCACCAGTGAGCAGTGCTTCGCCGCTGGCTGCTGCTTCGACACCACCGTCCCGGGGGTGCCCTGGTGCTTCACGCCCCTCCCCATGGAAGGTAACCGCAGGGCAGCGGGGCCTCTTCCTGTGCCCGCAGCCCGCAGCCCAGACCCCGGCTGACAGTGCTGGGGACGGGTGCCCAGGCCGCCAAAGGGAAGAGAAAGTCCCCCTTCACCTGTGTCCACACCTGGAGCCCCAAGGGCCAGCCCTTTGCCCCCTTTGGCAGACATATGTGGGAGCCCTTGTGTGTGCAGAACCTGTTTCTCTGTATTTGAAGAAATAAACAACGCTGGGGCCTCTCCTTCTGTAAAAGCGTGACCGGAAGGTGCTTCTAGGGCAGCGGTTCTCAACCTGTGGGTCGCGACCCCTTTAGGGGTCGAATGACCCTTTCACAGGGGTTGCCTAAGGCCATTGGAAAACACATATATAATTGCATGTTGTTTTTGTGATTAATCACTATGCTTTCATTATGTTCAATTTGTCACAATGAAATTGGGGGTCACCACAACATGAGGAACTGTATTAAAGGTCGAGGCGTTAGGAAGGTTGAGAACCACTGTTCTAGGGGAAGGAGGATTTCATGGGACCTCATTAACGCGACTGCTCGCAGACTCAGTGTGAGGACGTTAAGTCTTCTAGGACCACTTCTGAGAGTGGCTGTATGTCAGATGCCCAGGAGAGCAGGTCGTCAATCCCATGGCGTGCACACAAGAAAGCGGGTGCAATGCAGGCTGGCGTGCCTGGGACTCACACGCTGGCCTCTCGCCCACACTCCCGGGGACTGAATGCGAGGCTCCCGTGCTCTGAGACTGGCTATGGGCCAGGAGCCTCCCTTGAGGGGAAGTGCTGCTGGGTTTTCATACTTGTGCCAAATGCTTTAGAACCTGAAAGTTATTTCTCCTCTCTGGACTCGATATGGGCAGCCCATTTTACAGAGGGGAATATCGAGTCCAGAGAGGAGAAATAACTTTCTTGAGGCCCCAGGACTCTAGGTCTTCTGACTTGTGACGTCTGTGGGGAGGAAGGGGTGGCCAGCCGCTGGCACCGACCCGTACGCAGGCCGTGGGTGGTCCAGCCCCAGAAGGTCCTCCGGACAGCCCCGGCTGTAAATCCAGAGGTGTTCCCAGGGGCGCATGGGAATTTCCCAGTTAATAGCGGGCCTAACTGAGCCTCTGTGCTGTTTCTCTCCCAACCCCGGTGACGGCGACCAGACAAGGAGGAGTGTGTCATGGAAGTGTCGGCCCGCGTGAACTGTGGCTACCCCGGCATCAGCTCCGAGGTCTGCGCGTCTCGAAAGTGCTGCTTCTCCGACACCATCCCTGAAGTGCCCTGGTGCTTCTTCCCAAAGCCCGTGCAAGGTACCGGCGCTGAGGGCGAGCCATCTGGGGCCTGGGCACGAGGATTGCTCGGGAAGGTGGGGGCTGGGGAGGGGGTGTTCTTGCCCTGGACGTCCTGCCTGAATGCCACTGAGGCCCTGGCTCCTGACCCAGGCGTGGCCATTTCAGCGGACAAGTAGACTGATGGGTGAGCCTGCCTTTACTGTGAGGCAATTCCAGAATGTTCTCAGCCACGGCAGCGTCCTTTAGATATGTTTAGAGCCACACTGCGTCGTGGGTCTTTAGGACGGTTTAAAAGCACAGCGTTTTCAGCCACATCCCTGGACCGCGGCCACACCGGTGGCCTCACAGTCCAATGCCCATTTTTGGATGCTACCAAATGCCCTCGCTGTGTTAGGTGCCGGGGACGGGGCCCGGAACAGAGCAGACGTGGCCTCCTCTCTGTGGCCCTCATGTCCTCTCACATGGCCACGCATGTCAGGTTCTGTCCCAGCGCCTGCTTCAGTGCCAGCCCCGGAGGGCCCAGCCCCTCCCCCTCCTCAGTCACAATGTGTCTCCTGACACCGAGTTTGGCAAGATAAAGGAAAAGCAGGCATTTTCCCCCAAATGGGAGGAGGGCCCTGGTCCTTGAAGAGCGCAGCCTTCACTTGCAGAAATTTCCAAGTGTGACCTAAGGGTCCCCCTGGCAGTTGGCCAGCTGTTTGGGGCGAGTGGCCCCCAGAGGACACCCCACTCCTGGGCATTTGTCCCCGGAGGGGAGCTCCCTCCACGGGCGCAGCTGGGCACGTGGCCTGTTGCCACGGGCCCCACAGCACCCTTAGCTCAGGCTCCGGGCTCCCTGACCTCTCACCAGCACCTCTCATTTTGAATTTCTAGACTGTCACTATTAAGGGGCAGTGGCTTCAGAGGGCCGCCGGCTCCTGCACACTCTGAAACAGCGAGAGGACTCACCAGCTCATCCGTTCCTGCCCCGTGTTTCCTGAATGCCTGGGTTTTCTTCGTCGCTTTTTACCTGGTTCAGTGGGTTCACATTCAGTGTCTTCAAATAAAGGAAACCCTTAACATCTGCTCCATTTTATTTTGGCTTCATTGACGCAGAGGCGGAGATAGGTGTGTGTGTGTGTGTGTGTGTGTGCGTGTGTGTGTGTGTATAGCGTTAATGTGCTTTCATTTCCCATAAGAGCAAAAAGCCACCCGCTGTGTCCGGCGACTCTTGCAGCACTCAAGGGCCCGTGTAAGTGAGTCTCTGAATCTGCCTCACTTTCTAACTCCTGCACCCGGTCGTGTGTCTACACACTCACATGACTTCAGCCCTCAAGCCTCTTGCAGTAACATGCGATTTCAATGCAACTACAAAATCACTTCACTGTGACCAGAGGCATCTCGGACCACCTGCCTTTGAACTGAGTGCCAGGCCCCCGTCACCTCCCAGGACGCCGCTTGCAGAAGGAGGCCACCTATGGTCTCAAGTCGCCGGCACGCCTTCCTCCTGCTCACAGCACACTCGCCAGCCGAATAAATGGGTGGCTGCTGCTGGAGCTCGGGGTCTCAGCGACACTCGGGACCCATGGCCAACGAGACAGGCGTGGGCGTTTGTGCATTTGTTCATCACAGGGCGCCCACAGGGTGCAGTTCACAGGTTCCCCAGTCAGCCAGCCCGGCCAAGCCAGAGGCAAAGCCAAGTCCCCCTCCAGGGGCCACATGAATGATCCCTGCCAGCACCCGGACCGAGAGTCTGGAGGCCCCGCTCCCAGAACTGGCGCGTGGCTGTCCTGCCTCTGGGGTCGGCGGGAGCTCCTGGCTTCTGGCCAGCGTGGGCGTTTTCTGGTCCACGGACCTCTTGTTCTCAGGCGGAGTGGGGGCCACTGGCAGGAACCTCTGGGGGCCCCACCCTGAAGGCATTTTCTCAAAATCCTCCTCTCGGGCCCCTCCCCATTCCACTTCCTCCCTTGGGGTCCTCTTTGGTGCATTAACACCCTCCTTTCTGAGCCGATTCCCGCATGGCCCTTCTGATGATTGACTGCGGAGTCTTAAGCGATTTCAGTGGTGTTTGCTAGGGGCTTGGGGGTCCTTGGGACGTTTTCCTCTGTTTCAGATACGGTAGCTCCTGCCGGCTGCACAGCCCTTGATGGCCGTTCACTGCTCGGCATCCAACGTGGCTTGGGTTGCGCTGTCCCCTCCTCCTCCTCCTTTACGTGGCACCAGGGAGTCCTCGTTGGCCCCGGAGCAATGGTTGGTGCATACGAACCCTCTCCCATCAGAAAAATGAACCCTTTTTTGTCCTCCTCTCTGTCTTCCTCTGTCTCATCCCTCCCCCTCCTTTCCCTCCTGTGATGAGTTATTTTGTCTCCTCGGCCATTCTCTGCTTCTCTCCCTCCATCCCTCTCCCCCCAGAGGCACCCACAGTCTCCACTGGGCTCTGGCAGTCATACTGCTGACGGTGAAGAGGGTGAGGCTCGGTGCAGAGGGTCCGCCAGTGACCATGCCGTTAGGAGCAGGGGAAGGGGAACCCCCCCCCCCCCCACACACACACTCCCTGGTCTCCTGGCCCCTGAGGTTCACGCAGGCCCTTGCTGGCTGGTTCAGGTGATGAAGGTGTTTGAGAAGCAGTCACAGGGGAGGGGACCGGCCAGCACTGGTGGAGGGAGCACCACAGTGCACGTGTGGGCTGTGTCCCAGGTGTGTGGTGTCGGGCGCGTCTCTTAGCTCTCAGGTTCCCAGGAGTCCTGTTTGTAAAGCGTGGGTCATGCTTACACCCCTTGCCGGTGGTGGTGGGAATGAAAAGCAATGTATGTGAGCTGCCCGGTGCCTGCTGGCCCCACTCAACGGAGCACCTTCCAGGAGAGCCTGGGCAGAGGAGACTGCCTGTCCTCTTGTCCGGACGCCTAGCAGGGGCACCCTGTGTCCGTACATCAAAGCCCTTTCCACATAGGGTCAGGGCAGCGTGACTGCATCCAGGTGCGGGTGGGTCCTTCAGGCTGTGCACTTGCTCATTACACTCACTGCACACCCACTGCAAACTACACACTCACTGCCACCCACTGCACACTCACTACACACCCACTGCACATTCACTGCACACCCACTGCACACTCACTACACACCCACTGCACATTCACTATACACCCACTGCACATTCACTATGCACCCACTGCGCATTCACTGCACACTCACTGCACATTCACTGCACTCCCACTGCGCACCCACTGCACACTCACTGCACATTCACTGCACTCCCACTGCACACTCACTGCGCACCCACTGCACACTCACTGCCCACTCACTGCGCACTCACTGCACACCCACTGCACACCCACTGCACATTCACTACGCACCCACTACACATTCACTGCGCACCCACTGCACACTCACTACGCACCCACTGCACACCCACTGCACTTCCACTGCACATCCACTGCACACTCACTGCCCACTCACTGTACACCCACTGCACACTCACTGCCCACTCACTGTACCTTGAATATATATAACTGGCTCTCATTTTTCAAGGTGGTTATGTCCTAGGAAGTCACTGGCACTGAATTAGCAAATACTGAACCACTGGGATGGGGGAAACACGGGCCAGGTTCCCAAGAGCGTCTTGACCAATTCCATCCACTGATCAATACGTGACGCTGCTTGGTGTGTGCTTCTGTTCGCAGTAATTTAATGTAAAGGGTGTCCCAAAATTCACGCAAGAAGTAATTTTGATAGAAAACACAGGTTTATAATAAAAATTGTAAATTTTTTATTGATTCATACAGTATACAGTATAGGGTTATGTATGGAATAGCATATCGGGTAAATGGCCTCCACGGCTTTGCTGGCACATACGCATTCTTTTGTTGAAATTTTCCATAAATGTGGCTGAATTTCGATGAGGCTCATTTTCATCTTGATGGCTTGGTTAATCAACAAAATTGTCGCATTTGGGGTTCAGAAAATCCACGAGTGATTGTTGAGAAACAAATGCATCCACAACGTGTCACTGTTTGGTGTGGATTTGGGGCTGGTGTCATCATCGGACCATTTTTCTTCGAAAATGCGGCTGCTCAGGCAGTAACAGTTAATGGTGCTCGCTATGGCGACATGATAATCCAGTTTTTTGTGCCTAAATTGCAAGATATGGATGTGGACGACAAGTGGTGTCAACAAGACGGTGCCACATGCCATACAGCCCGAGAAACAATTCAATTGCTGCATGAGTCATTTCCTGGCCGTGTAATTTCCCGTTTTGGTGATCAGAATTGGCCGCCCAGATCATGCGTATGTGCCAGCAAAGCCGTGGAGGCCATTTACCCGATATGCTTTTCCATACATAACCCTATACTGTACACTTTATGAATCAATAAAAAATTTACAATCTTTAATTATAAACCTGTGTTTTCTATAAAAATTACTTCTTGCGTGAATTTTGGGACACCCTTTATGTTGTTGACTCACTAGCATTGTGCTCACAGCCGTCTGCAGCCACAGCTCACTCCCGAGGAGCTGGTCTGGCACCTGCTTTCTCTCTAAGAAACACCACAGCCTCTTTGCCCCCCGAGCTTGGGGACCACTCACATAGCAAAATCACCACCGAAAAGCACAAAAATGCCAGAAAGGAGATGCTACACAGGCCGTGAAAAGACACGCGCTTACAGCCAGAGTGGAAACAGGAAGGCAGAGGGTCACCTTGTTGGGCCTCATGGGACGACCCTGCTGGACCCCGAGTTTTTACTGCTCTGTGCATTGCGCATCAGCCTGTGATCTCACGCACCGGGAGTATGGACTTTGGAGTTGCAAATACATTTTAGCGAGCAGGCAAATTTGCGAATAGGGAGTCCATGAGTAGTGAGGAGCGCCTGTCTGCTCATTGCCGGTAGCAAATATTCGTTCTATGTGGTGCATACGCATAGATACCCTGGCTGTTGCTTCAGGGTTCAGGGAGACACCCCTTTGCCTAGAGGAGGAGGAGGAAAGGCCACAGCCTCATGTGCACCTCCACAGAGCCCCACGGAGTCTGGGTGCTGCAATAATACTATTTGTATCAGGTCTTCAAAAGAGGCGAATTGCACTTATGCTGATCACGGTTTGTGTACCGAAGTCACTTCCGAGCTGTGCGGCCTTGGGCAAGTTACTTAGATGCTCTGTGCCTCGTTTTACTTATGTGCAAGCGAGGGTGTTAATAGCCCCTTTCCCTACAGGCTTTTGACAGGATTCATGAGTTACTTCATGAGACGAGCTTAGAACAGTGTCAGGCACATAGCGACTGCTTAATGAGAACATAATGCTAGTCATTATTATCATTAACACACCACTTCCCAATAGGCCAGGCCCATTAATCAGGATGCCAATGTGGTCCCATGTACTCAGTGCCCATCAGCCCCTCCAGGAACCCACATCCCATGCAGGAGGCCCATCCCTGCCAAATCCCCTCCCGGGGTTCTTCTGTGGCCCTGGCGAACGCTGTGGTCCAGTGGGCAGTGGTCCCATCGCAGGCTGGGCTGCCGAGGCTACCCCCTCATCAGGAAAGCCCTGGGGGTCTGCCCAGCTGGTGGCTGGCGGTGTTCCCTTCCCTGCTCACGGCCTCTGCCCCTCCCCAAAGGCCTGTCAGTATCTGTGGGACATGGTGGGAGGTCCCAGCACACCCCTGGGAGCTTCCTCAGCTTCCCTGCCACCTGAGGGGTTGGGAACAGAGGAGTCGCCTCCATCCATGGACCCCGAAAGTGTCTGATCCCAGCTCCAGCGTAGCCAGCCCTCCCTGGCTGCTCAGACACAGATGTGCTGGTGCCCTGGCTCCAGGGCTGGGCGACCAGGTTTCCACAGGACTCGTGAGTGACAGCTTCCAGATTTATTTTCCTGTGACCCAAAGAGAGCTCCACACCTACACGTTCAATCCTAATTTCACACAATCAAGAACGTGACTTCGGGAAGGAAGGACCCTTCTCTTTGTTCCATTTGGACTCACAGCTAATGAACCTGAGGTGTTTCCATCATAAAGAGCCTCCCAGGGACAAGGATGCTCACTCGGCTGCCTTTCCTCTAGTGCCCTCTGCTGGCCAACACAGGAACAGAA